ACCTACTGGGATTTTCCCACACAACCATCTCTAGCGTTTACATAGGCTGGTCTGAAAAGGAGAAAATATCCAGTAAGCAGCAGTTCTCTAGGTGAACATGCCTTGCTGATGCCAGACATCAGAGGACAATGGGCAGACTGCTTCATGCTGATGACAACAGTAACTCAGATAACCACTTATTATAACCAAGGTCTGCAGAGAAGCATCTTTAAATGCACAAAATCCCGAACCTTGGGCTACAGAGGCACAAAGATCACTCTAGGTGCCACTCCTGTGAAGAAAGTGAAGTTACAGCTTGAGTCTGCAACATTCAGATGGAACAACCTAGAAGTGTGGATTTGTCCTCCCTTACATCAGCATTTCTGCTGGTGGTGTAATGTGTGGGGGATACTTTCTTGGCATAGTATCACGTGACCATGTCCATCCGTCTATAACCACAGTATCTTAAATCATCTCAAAGAGAGTGGTGAGGGAGGCAGAGCCTATTATGGGAAGTGAGTTTCCTTTCTTCCAGAAGATGTACGAGCACTGATGCACTGCCCAGCCAATGGTTCATCTAAGACACAACCTTAACTGCAACCTGTTCCAGGCCTGTAAGAACTCACATGAGCTATTTTTCAACCACTATCAGGTTCCTGGACAAAGTATGACTGTTTATTAATTAATTAATTGCCAGACATATGTTCTTATATCTTTGCATTTGCATATATCTAAAATATGGTGTCTTATTTATTGTGATTTTCACCAACTTCTTACTTTTGAAAATCCATGATGACAATAAAACCAGGTGAGAATCTGAATCTGAGTGGGCTTCTCTGTGCGTATGTGTAAAAACTGGTAATGGGAATAGTAGCAGTAATAGCTGCTAAGATATGAGGTGTGATCAAACATCAAGCTCTGTTTCCAAATGACCTGAAATCTCTATAGAGGATCACAAATGGTGATGAGAGCTGGTTCAGCAGCTACAAATAAGCAGTTTTCACTGAACCCCAAATAAATACGGCATGTGACAACCTCCCCTGTACCCTCAATGACTAGTTTTGACATCTCAGTATAAATCAATAAAGATTAGAACAGGTTCCAGGATTTTTCAAGGGTAGCCCTGGTAAGCTGTATAGGCAGAGATCACCCTCACTAACTTCTAACGCACACACAGCCATTTTGTTCTGAGAAGTTTGTTCTTTTGTGCCTGAAATATGGAAACCACTCAGTTCAGAAAAGAGAAACACGGGTTACTTCTAGTAGACATTTAAGGGGGAAAGAGTTAAAGGGTTAGGATGTCAGCTGAGGAGCAATACCAGGAGCCTGTACTCCTGACATCCTCATGGATGGACTTCGGCTGTAACATTATGAGTTGTCTGAAGTAAAATATCTACACTGTCGTGCGCACCATTGTGAGGTTTTTTGCAGATACCAACATAATCATTGGTTGCTATTTGGACCATTTGCTGCATTTGACTCCCTGCAGCTTCGGCCAAAAACAAAAGTCAAGTTTAAGAATCTGGATTGTGACAAACATTGCATATCCAGTGCCCACAGCAGATACACTGGGTCCAGTGTTTTTGTTTAGTTTATTTGAATCATCTATTTGGGCTCCTAAAGGGTTTACATTTACTTCATGTATGTTTTGGTGTATTTAGTGCTACTACTTGCTCCTGGTTGCTTTAGAGTTTATTCCTCCCTCATTGTTTAATCCTCTTGTGTCTCGGCTCCCGTGTTTATGCTGCGTTACAGATACCTCAGAACTCGGATGTTGGGAGTTAGCGTGCTCTCGAAAAAGTGAGGAAAAACAAATCAAATGCATTTTATTCATTTGATTTGGTTCCTTAGCAAGGTAGAACCATTCAGGTATCACTAGCAGTAGAGCACAATATATATATTCTTTTGCACTTAAACACATTCATGACTAGAGCTTGGTCAGTGCTCTGCATATAGCTTATTGAGTGACTCATAAATGAACAACCGTGGCATTACAGGATAAAAGTTTAAGTTTTACCTCTGTTTATATTCACTGGCACCATCTTGCATTGTTAACTCGGGGTTGCTGTGGCTGCTTCGTCTTTCTGAGTGGGAAATCTGAGTTAGAGGGACTTTCCGCGTTTCACAATGGGAACTTGGAAATTCGGATTTACTCAGGAACGCACTGTTAGTTAATTTGTGTTTCTGCATTTCCTGTTATCACACTTGCTGTTTTACTTTGAGAGTCAGTGTTCTTGGTGCTTTGCTTTTAGTTTTGCTTCCTTTGTCTTTTCTCCTGTGATTTATTTCTCCTGTGTCTCCACTTCCCTAATCACCCTGTGTCTATCTATTGTCTCTGTATTAACTTGTCCTTTGTTGCATCCTCCCACGAAGTAATGTCTTTTCCTTGTTCCAGGTCTCCCCAAAATTCCTAGTTTTTGATTGTTTGTTTCAGCTCGGCTCATGCCCTGTTTTTTATGTTCTAATGAAGACGTTAATGCTTGCTGTCAAAGTGTAACAGGCGCAAGTATAACAGGACATCTAAAAAAAAACCCATCTAAAAATATAAAGTGGACCTGAAAATGGTCCAGATGTCCAGGAGAAGGTGTACTTGAAACTGACATGCACAAAATTTAAATCGGGTATGGACTGCTCTCCAAAGTTTTTCTTGCACAAGCCCCCTGCTAGATATGCTCCCACTGGGCATGTGCAGACTGATGGTAGTGAGACCACAGTTCATAACAAGCAGAAGTCAAGGTTCTTAGCATCCAGCAGCCTTCTGGTCAAACACTCCTCTATGAGTGTTACATGCAATATAAATCACTGTCAACCTGCTGCACTGCAACCCCTTGCTGCTTCTTTCTTCTGCTTCATATTCAGACCGATTGATACTAACGCGGTTTCCTCGCTCAGCCATCATTTTGCTAAACGGCACATGAGAGAGAAAATGGAAGCCCTGCGATTGTGCGCAGTGTGTTGTTTAAGCTGGGCTCTGTCTCTGGCTTGTTTTCCTTTAACCTGCTGCACATCAATCACAGCCGCCAACAAGATTAAAATTAAAAGACTTCAGAACATCTACCTGCTACAAGTGAGATCCTTCCCAGACGACATTGCACTCCTTATTTTTCATACTAGTGTGCATCAAATAAAATTTTATCGAACCCAGCAGCATTATCTGCCAGTGCCACAAGATAATTTGACTGAAGAAAAAACACAAAACATGAATTGAGCTCCCCAAGCCTGGTTAGGAGATAACATCACCTGCCGAGCTTGCACTTTGCCTCAAACTTATTTTGTTCAACGTGAGCTTCGATTAATGATTCTGGACGCTTGACAAAGACGCAGGAAACATCTGCAGAGAGCACAAATGTTGTGTGCTACAATATTAAATCAGTGCTGCTCAGGCAACTTTCCCCAGACCAAGGAAAGGTTATTAAATCAACAGAGGAAATGGTGTCGAGGCTGTGGAGCGTGGCTTTGTTTATTTACAGCGAGGAGAGCGCACAATCAGACTGCCTCCCGCTGCAGTGCAGCTATTTTCTCAAGGGAAACTTAACGTTTCTCCAGCGGCCCTCCAGGCCAGAGACCGACCGGCTACATTACTGACTCAAGAGATGGAGGAGGAAAGGAGAAGCTGCGCCTTTCCACTCAGTACGTTTGCAATGCAATATCAGACCGTAGGCTGCAGTGATCCCAGAGGTTCGTTTACACAGTTTCACACCTGAGATTTTTATCAGCCTATGCAGCTCTGAAAGAGAATCAAGCTATTCATGAACATTTACTGGTTGTGATGGTTTTACTATGTCGAATTTAAGACTGCGAATTTAATGCCTTATTTGACCTAGTTTCCCTCTGAGAACTGAAACAAAGAAGGACTTTGATCTATATCATGCTTTTTAATATTTGGCTTTATTTTAAAACCATATTTTTTTAGTTGGGATTGGATTTGTTGAAGCATGAAAGAGCCCTTTGTTTCCAAGTTTTTCTGTAAAGTCACACAGACTTAACTGCAAGTGGACCAGTTATTTTTTACATTATACGCTCTGATTTTTATTGCTTTTTATAATATCTTGATTGTCCTGATTGCCAGGACCTGGGTGAACAAAAAGAAAAAGAATAGAAAAATTTCAAAACCATCCAAAAAGTTAAAAACAAATTAGCAAACAAGCACTGAATAACGGTTAATGTTGTTTAGAAGTCTTCAAATAATGATTTAGCGGGCTTCAATCTGCAGTTTGTGGACATAAGTAGATAATTACCGGCTGAAACGTTGAAACAGTAGTAGTTATTTCCTTTTTTCAAAATGTCTCTGATTATTTTTCAAGCTGTTATTTTTGTAAAACGGCTAATGGCTACAGGTGGCTAATATGATACATTTATTAGCCTGCTAATTCAAAAACCAGAACTGCTAAGATGACAGTTGTAGTTTTTGCAGAAACAACTACACTGGTAGAAACCTTAAAAAGCTGTTGAATGCAATGTGTACTTCTGCTATAAATATGTCTGATTTTAGGGAGCAAATGAAAAATGTAAATTAATGTAAGAATGGAGCTAATGTTTGAATATATGACTATAAATACTGCTTAGAACAGCTTCAAAAATAGAAAATCTTGTTGCTTTTTGGCAGTTTGAGGTACGTACACTCTAAGAAGGGAAACGAGACAACGTGACGCATCTGGCAGCTCAGGAAACAGACTCTGATGAGCTGATTTAATCCGAGAAATGAGTGGAGACTGCTGTCTGCAGACAGATAACCCTCTGTAACATTATAACCTTTATGTGGATAAAACAAGCAAGATAAAATGTAATCGCTGAACTTTAGAGTCGATCGACATAGCCGGGCTTGCCGTTTTCTCCTGTCTCAAGTCTTAAAGCTAATCTGTGACAACTCGCTGCATCTAAATCTCATCAGGAAAGCTAATAATGTGTTTTTAAGGTGGAGGTACATTAGAAAGACTGTTGACAATCTCATCCTTTTTCTGGGGACTGATGTCCTCAGGTACTGATGAGCATGACCATTATTAGCTGGGTGTCACACTGACCTATGAGGCTGTCTGGGCGGGGCAGAGCGCTCCTCTGGTACAGGCCGTATGGATCGGCGCCATACGCCAGCGGCTGGCTCTGCCTGGGGAGGGTGGAGCCGTAGTGCTGCGGCACAGCCGTCATTCCCGAGCGCAGCGGTGACCCCATTGAACCCCTCCCCTCGATCAAGGAAAGGGTGGACCCCAGACGTCCTCCACTTCCTACTCCTCCTCTTTCGCCTCCTCCTAGTCCCACTCCTCCTCCAATTCCACCTGCACCACCCCCTCTACCCTGGGTGCCCTCAGTCGGGGAGGTCGGCGATGGGCAGGAGGGCGGCATGGTAGTGCCTGGGAAAACAGCGGCCAGCGGTTTGGGCTCAGACAGGATGGGCGAGTCATACGTGCTGCCTTGGGATGTTCGCAGGGAGATGCGGGAAGGTGAGACTGTGCCGGCGGTGCCACAGCCAGGAGACTGGCTCCTGGAGGGGAGGGAGGCCATCCTCCGTAACACCCGGCTGGAGGCCTGGGAAACCAAGAGGAGAAGAAATATTACAGTTTACCCTTCCAGAGAGTAGAGTGTGACATTTTATTCATCTGATAATGAGGAATGAATTTTTATTACATCTTCCTAAATTGCCCTTTGCATCTCACAGGTCATTACGTTTGTGCAAAAACCATTAAATTGCCCTTATGTGCTGTTTAAAATGTGCATCATGTTCAGTGATGTGCTTGGAAGGGTGCAGAGAAACGAAACTATGAAAAACACTGAAAATTCGTATTCTTATTTTGGATAATTTAAATTAAATAAATATTCTAGTAGTCCTGCCTGCATCATTATTAAATGACATTTAATGGCATTTTATTCATTTCTAATTAACATTCACTTGATTCTTTGCTCCTCTGTGACTAAAAATGTCAAGTATAATACCCGTAACAGTGTTGACAATTAATCACTTCAGCATTTTGGTTTTCTAAATAAATACCTGACAAATGAACATTAAAGTCTGCACACTGCGCCTCTCCCATTTGCAAATATACTCGCCAATTAGGAGTAATGCGACACTCTCAGACAGCGCTCTTCATCACGTCTGATGAAGAGCGTCATTATCTTTTCCATTTGTCCAAGAAGCTGAACGTGCTTGCCTCTGGGAAAACGTCCTAATTCATTACACTTCAGACTGAGCGTCACTTTTTAGGGAAGACTTGACAGAATTTTCCTGATTTATGGTGACAAACATTTTCCCTTTTTTCTTCTTCTCCTCATTTATGAAATATAGAATGTCTCCTAATTACAGACTCAGCCAACTGGATGCCGATCTGTGCCGCCTTAATCCATCGCAGCCTCGAACGCCTCGAAGGGAAATTAAGAGCGGAGACATGTAAGCCCATCCAGTGAGGCTGCTGGGTTTGGAATAAATCAGGAGAAAATTCAAACAGGCTCACCATTATCTGTCATTCCTACTCCTACTTTCATTCAAGTGCGTATAATTATTAGCCACAAAGAAAGGAGCTGATAATGTTTGAGCCTGAGACATTTCAAGGTAGAAGTGGTTTTGATTTGAAGGGTTTAGCTGATGTTCTTCGTCGCTCATGACAGTAATTACCGAGCCTCAACCAGCTGTCATTACTTTAAGAAAGAATATTATTACTTAGAGCAAAGAAATACATATTTTTTCAGGTGGCAACGCTCTGAAAACCATTCAAATGGGGGAAACCTGAATAAGATTTCTCCTCATGAGGTTCAATTACCTGCGCTGGAGCTTTTGATCGTGTTACTCGATGATTCGCTAGCAGCTGGAATTCACCGTGTTGTCGCCAGTGTTGCCAATTTAGCGACTTTGTCGCTATGTTTAGCGAGTTTTCAGACCCCTTAGCGACTTTTTTTCTAAAAAGCGACTAGCGACAAATCTGGCGACTTTTTCTGGTATTACTGGAGACTTATTTATGACGACTTTTGACGTGGAAACGCGTATCGCTCTTACTCTCAACAGGCAGCGGTGCTGCCTTGGGCA